AGAGACACAGAGAGAGAGAGAGAGAGAGAGAGAGAGAGAGAGAGAGAGAGAGAGAGAGAGGGAGAGAGTGCATGTGTGTGTGTCTGTCTGTGTGTTTGGGACTAATACGGGGTGACCCCTCCACAGCACGGACGGGCCCAGAAGATTGTTTTTGGGACTCGTAATGGGTCCATAAGTTTTTTATTTAGTAGGCTACCAGAGTGGCCCGGGGCCACTTGGCCGGGCAGGCCAGAAAAAAATAAAATAATATTTTTTTTGTTTTCTTTTAATTATGTCACCCTGAGGCAAAAGTTGTTCAGTTTATTTTTGTGCATAATATAATTTTTTGAATTTTTTTCCCAGAATTTTTGGATTTTATTTATTTATTTATTTTTGCTGGGACCTTCTATAGTCCTTGCATGGGTGGGCAGCCCGGGCAAACAAGGTGACCCGGGTGGCCCGGCTGGTAGCCTAGTTTCTTTTTTTTTTTTTTTTTTTTTTTTTTTTGGGGAATTCTCACGTGCCCAAAAGATGGCCAGGAGATCCTGGCCGTACAGATGCAACTCTGTTAGTAGTTAAACTTACTTTTGCTGTCTCTGAAGCTGGAGTTCCAACTTGAAAAGCTTTCACACCACCGCGCGTAACAGTGATATGATATGATTTTGTTGGTCGATTGAAAAGCTTTCACACCAGAGCGCAAATCGGGCAAATGCAATTTTTCTGTGAACGTGGGTGGGTTTACTGGTTTTTGAAACTCCAGCCTCGTGTTGAGGGCAGGTTATCAGATGCCAATCACTCGGTCTTTATGACTCCTTTTCTTCTTCTTCTTCTTCTTCTTTCCCCCGATTTGCGCTGTCAGGTATAGAACAGTTGTGGAACGCCTTGCAGGAGCCAGGCTTGTGTATAACCAGCCACACATGAACCGCGCCGTGAGTTTTGAGTATATGAATCGGCAGTTGATATGGCAAGAGCTCTCGGTAGGTCTCTCTCCGTCCTGTAACCCCTTCGTCCCGCCATCGAACTATCGTTCCCTCCATCGCTTACTCTGTCTCTTTTGCTCACGCACGAACACATGCACACAAACAAAGAAAAAGACGAAAGAAGAGAAAGAAATTCCAAGAGTAGTATATGGTGGTCCTTCAAGACGTCTGTTAACATTGGAACCATACATAGGAGATGTTTTTTTTTTGGGGGGGGAACACACAAGATAAACATGGGCCCTGCAGAAGGTTGGATATAAACAAAAACGAAAAAAAGAAAAAAGAAAAACACAAATGTTACGATCCTGGCGATTTCCAAAATGCAAATTCACAAGGAAAGACACTGCGAAGAGATGGAGACCAAAGAAGAAGAAAGAAGAAGAAAGAAGAAGAAAGAAGAGGAAAGAAAGAAAGAAGAAGAAGAAGAAGAAGATGTACACCAGCAAGACAGGGACGTCACCGATCGCACCCATCCTCGCACCATCCATGCGGTGTCTCGCCAACTCTCCCTGATACAAAGCGATCTCTTCAACTGCCACACAACCTCCATCAGATCTGCTCATCCTTGAGCAAGTCCCCAGAGTGTTGCTCGGCTGCAGTCAGGGACGTCGCCGATCGCACCCATCCTCACATCATCCATGCGGTGTCTTGCCAACTCTTCCTGGTGCAAAGCAATATCTTCAATCGGCCCAAACAGGTCTCTAACCAACCACAGGCTAAAGAAGATAAGTGCTGTTGTCCAGTTCACCATCAATGAGATGGGAACCCTCAAAGCTGAGCTGTTCATGGACTCCTTTCATGGGGCCACATCAACGCTCTTCTACATACTACTGAAGGAAAAGCCGGGTCTCGCGCAACTCCGACGTGAGACCCGGTTTCCATGTTTACGACCTTGGGTGGCAGGCCCAGGCCGGGAACTGAAAAAAAATGGAAATCATGACCGTCGGCCTGTACGAACAGGCGCGGCCTGGGGAGGCCTGCCGACCGTCTTGCGGCCATCGGGTCCGGTCCGTTGCCCCCCCACCCGCCTGCTTCCTGCTGCCTCATGCCGCTTTCCATGTCCTAGCGGAAGATTCATCCGATTTTGCTCATCCTATCGATGGAAGTTGCGTGGGGCCAGCCGTCGGGTTGGAGACTTACCTGTTTTTGCCGGTGTGTTGCTGCGAGGTTGTCAGTCTTTCTTCTGTTGTCTGTTCTCCGCTCTCTCTCTCTCTCTCTCTCTCTCTCTCTCTCTCTCTCTCTCTCTCTCTCTCTCTCTCTCTCTCTCTCTCTCTGACACACACACAGACACACAGACACACACAGACACACACCCACACACGCACTGTGTCGCACACACACCTGTCTCTTATACACATCTAGATGTGTATAAGAGACAGGTGGGGGGCAGAGAAACGTGCAGAGGGTACTGTTCGTAGTATGCTCTCTGCACGTAGGGGGGGGGAAGGGGGGTGAGTGCTTAGGAGCGTTGCACAGCTTACCAACGCATGCGGATAACGAACAGGAGAGCTGAGGGGCGGAGAGGAAGTTTCAGAGGGTGTTGCAATATTCTTTCTGGGTGTGGGGGAAAGGAGAGAGTGGTTCGGAGCGCTGCACAGCTCACCCACACATGGGAAAAACCAATGGGAGGGAGAGCTGAGCCATGCATCGGGAACAGGAGCAGGGAAGTTAATGGGCTCCATCATGGGGGAATGGATTAAGGGGGTCTGCAAGATGCTTTACATGTCGGAGGAGAGGGTAGGATCTCAGCCGTTGGCCTGCGTGGAGAAAGGATTGTTGTCGTTGCAACTTTTGTGACACATGAAGTGCTTGAATGTTTGTACTTATGATAGTGTCATGGACAGGATTAAAAAAAGAAAAAAGAGGGCGACAGCATTGAGACATCATCTTGGAACACTGACCAGCCCCAGATAATGCAGAAGTATTTGATTCCGATCGTCCAGAACCATAAGGATTCGATTTCAGGTCTGCATTTCAAGTTTTTTCGTCGGCCCATGGGTGTACCAGCTGAGCGAGGCACGTTGGTTGGACATCAGTTTTAGTTGTGGTGGCATTTAGCCACATTAAAAAAACGAAAGAAAAAAGAAAGAAAAAGAAAATGCAGTCCCTGCCTATGTCATTTGAATTTTGAACCTATTTCACAGTGGATTGGTGCCGACATATCCTTTTTTTTTGTTATGCGTGCCATCCTAACTGTATCTGAAGCCATTTATGGCCCGCATACACACAAAATGTTTGGTCAGTCACAATGCATCTGGTCGAGAGCGTAGTCCACAGACATGTGGTATGCTGAGTAGTGCAGACGAGGTGCAACATGGGAATATGTGTAAGCAGTCATTTCCGGTACGTTGTTCCAACTAGAGGCCATCGTAGCTGTTCCAGCACGGGTCATTGATGGATTGGCTGGATGCTCGTTTTCTCTGGTCCCGGATGCTCTGTTTCTGCAATGAATTGCAGTTGCTTACGCGGGCTGTACACTAAGTTTGTCTGCTCTTCCCCTGCGGGACTTGATCCCGTGACCTACAGTTTGTATGTGTTATTTACTAGCTTTGAGTCCTACCGGGCTTGAGCCGTGAACCTGTCGCTAGTAGTCTCTGTTTGGCAGTCATAGGCCCTTCCACCTTGCTGTTTTGTCCTTTTCTGGTCTTCTGGAAACTGGTAGGCCCGTTGGTCTCCCTTGTGTGTGTCTTAGTCTTGGGTCCCCCTAGTCTAGGTTCTCATCTAGATGCAGGTAGGCAGATCTTGACTGCTTAGCCGTAGATGTGTGCTATTTGGACGGTCAGATAGGTTTGTAGGTGACTGCTGTGTTGTAGGGCTAGGGAAGTTGGGTAAAGTGGGCAGAGGACGAGAAGTTTGGGGTTCTTTTCTCATTTTTTTTAGGAAGTGGCGACGGGAGTGCGGGAGCGGCACTATTTCCAGCGCTCAGTCTTCTTCCTCTTCAAAGGGGAACTTGGGAAGCCATAGCTGGGGCGCCCTGCTGCTTGAGGAGGCAGCACCTGTAGGAGGTCTTCCAGGTGCTGATGCCACTGCCATCACATAGCTGTTTGTGGGGTTGAAGAACAGCTACTTCCTTCCTTGAGGGGCTTGCTTGTTGCTAGTTGTTGCCATACCAGGGCAGCCATCATCTTCTTCATCGAGGCTCACCTTCTTCTTCAGGGTGGTTTGTGGTGCTTCAAGTTGGTATCTGGCTTATGCCAGATGCCTGTACTCGCAGGCTCGGGGCATGATGAGATGCTGTTTTCACCGGTGGGCTGTCATTGGAGGCTGGGGGTCGTAGGGAGAAGAGGAAGTTTCAGTGCAGCTTTGTTGAAGTGTATTGTCGGGGGTAAATTCGAGGTGGAACAGATTTTGTGCTTGAGACTCTTGGAGTTGTTTGGTTGACAGGAGGAGAGCAGGGGGTGTAATAAATAATTGAGTGAAACATTTTTCTCTCAATATTTATATCTGGCTTCGGCTTCCGCTGTGCAATATCTCTCCATGGCTATCGTGTGAATCTGCTCTCTCCAGTCTTCTCCTCATTGCAGATGTGTATGGGAACATTTGAATGCGGGTTTGAGTTGTGAATCAATCGAAGACATAACAGTTTCTCTGGTCCCGGTTCATTCAGCAAGTGGTACCTTCTTACATTCTCAATGCCGAAGCAATTTGAGATGTAGGGAATGCACGGTGAATGTGTGGTCCCAGTATGATGCGGAGAGACTCTGCAAGGAGTGCCGTCTGGTCTCAGAGTGAAATCGAGCTGCTCATGGCACTGGAAGATTGGAACTCCTGAGAGAGAGAGAGAGAGAGAGAGAGAGAGAGAGAGAGAGAGAGAGAGAGAGAGAGAGAG